TAGATCTCTTACATAGTTTCGTATTATCTACTCTGTTTCTATGTGCATCCTGAGTAAAACTCACTATTATTATTACAACTGTTTGTGACAACTCATCATTTTTTTACTACCCTAGTTTCATTAGCACTTAATTTTCTTGACCTGTATTACCAACCTTCACTTGTTTAGTTAAAAGTAACCTTAACCAATTGTAACTTTGTTTGACAAACTTAATGTACACATACATACAAAACAATGCATATATATTTGCGATTGTACAGTTGAGAAAATGAATTCGCCGAAAAGAGACTCTTCGCTGATCTACGTGTTTTGTTTTGATTAATGCCTGGATGGGGATTATCCATGAATTTCGAATATTTATCAACAATCGTTTGAAAAGTTGCCTGTATTTTAGCGGGTGACCGGCTGGGGCCTACGTAGGTGATGTCTTTGATAGACAGACTAGTAGTATTGTCAATCAGTAGTTTTCGGCGGACGTCTACGAGTAAATCATGTTGATTAAGTAGGTCCGTGCCAATGATGGGCATTGTGACGTCAGCGAGAAGGAGAATCCACTGTATAGGTTTGCGCAAACCTACGTTCAGATAAACGTATTTCCTACCAAAAGTTGCGATTGGTTCTCCATTTGCAGCCTGTAGGTTGAAGGTAGGTTGCTTCTGTCGATCTGCTGCTGTAGCAGGAAGGACGCTGACTTCGGCGCCTGCGTCGACTAAATATCGAGTCTGGCTGATCACATAATGGTTGCAAAGTGGGCGGCTTGTGCTACCGGCGACGGCTGCCGCTAACGCGGGCCGGTGGGATAGTTTCCCACAGACTTTGAGACATTTCCAAAGTTACAAGGCTTACGGCAATATTTCGCTTCTTGGCCATAGGTGTGGTACCAGCACCAGTCAGGGTTTTTCAGAGAACGTGGCTTGGACTTAGATCGACCACGTGAGTTTCGCCGTTGAGGGGTTTTGGGCGACGGTAAGAGGAATTACAAGGCAAGTTTGACCTAATCATCTGCTGGATGGAGTTGCATGACTCTACCACTGAAGTATCCTTACTCGAAGTCTGTTTGGCCACCGAGCATATTTCAGGAACCGACCGTTTGGTTATTTCCAGAATTTTATCTGTAGAAATAACTAAGTCATCCATAAGAACACCCTGAAGTGTCACAAGTACAGTCTGCATGGACTGTGGCAGCTTGGATAAGAAGAGTTCTCTGGAAAGTCCTTCATCGAACTGACGTTGGCCAATAACTTCTCTCATTCTTGTTAGCATGCTTACGGCTGACTGATCCCCTAACTCGATGTTACGAAATAATTCGTCCAGACGTTGTCGATCCGTGAGAACTTCTCTCTTGATGGGGGATGCTTTGAGCAATTCATACGAGTTACTTACCTCAGGACTCGACATCTGTACAGTTACACACTAATTGAATTCCCGTGGTGGGGCGTGAATAAGTGCGAGGAACTGTGAACGTTGATTGGTTACCCCATGCTCCTGAAAACCAAACTCAGCTATCTGAAACCATGCTTTATCATTATCTGGCCAGTATGGTACGAGCTGAATGGTTTTTGCAGTTGAGCGAATACGGGTGACCTTGGGACTAGTATCACTCATGACGAAACTTATACCGATTTCAATACAGTACAAAAACAAATACAAAATGGAACGAACTCACCGGGGTTTTCTGCGTATTTATCGAAGATGAAGCTCGCGGTTGGGCTCACCAGTTTAGAGGCTGACGGTATTGACGTTCGTGAATTGTACGGAGTATACTAACGCAAGATCTGTGCGTCGGTGGCACATTGGTTAGGACTCTCACCAACCATGCACATGATCCGAGGTTCGATCCCCTGCCGACGCACACATGATATCTATGGTCGGCCTGCAAAATTTGGCCTACCGATATCCATGCTGAAAATTCTATACTTGTACCAAAAGTACAGAGTGGAATCAAGCTGTAATCAAAAATAAAATGAAATAAAATCTCATAACAGTAACTTCTATAGTATTCGTTTCTCGTGTACCAAAGGCAAAGCAAAAGACCAGAGCTGATCTTCCAAACTACGAGATATATTTCGGAACCAAATCGTGGACTGAAGCGGAAGCTAAGCTGGTTGGTGATCGTGCACGAAAGTGACACGACGGAGTACCAAATGGCGAGGATGCTTGACCGGAAGCCTTCAGCTAAACAAGTCGACTTAAACACTAAGGGTCAGCATCCAATGTTCACTGATGATTCCTACGGTCAATAACTTTGGGGAATTATTTACCGCTACAATATGCTCCAAGGCACAATTTATAGTCCACTTTAACTTGAACTTATTTCTGTTTCTGTGGAATACTAAGGAGTTTATCATAAACTACTTATGCATATGAGGCTTTTCCAACTATGGATATTTTACCGCTTATCGTAGCCAAATATAACATCTCAAAAATAACATTGCGCAATTTCATCTGAATTTCAGATTAATTATTTGTCTCTGTCTCAACCTTCCATATTAATTGAAGCGGTCATATATCTGTGAATTAGAGAATCAACAGCGTTTTGGAAGTCGATGCCATAAAAGTAGTTGTATAGGAACTAAGTTGCATACAATATTTTTTGTTAAAACTTATTAAGGTTGTTACTTTATTTGACCTTTTCTGAGAGACACTTCAAATTTTTCTAATGGTGAAACGTGTTGTCGTTCTTGGTTGTGGCGCCTGGGGTACTGCCACCGTTAAACTTGTTGCTGACAACGTTAAGTCTTCAAAAGAATTTCATGAAGAAGTAAACGTTTTGGTTTCTAGTTACGTAGTAATTATTTTGTAGGTTTATTGGTACGTAAGAGATGAAGATTGCAACGGTCGTAGCCTAACCACTTGGATTAATCAAGAACATATAAATCCCAAGTACTTGCCAACACTTGATATTCCTTCGAATGTTTCCGCCTCCTCTAATATTCAGAAAGTGGTCGAAGAAGCTGACATTATATTAGTGTCTTATCCATCATGCCACATTCTATGGTTGGTAGAAAATGTGAAGAAATTTATCAAAGACGGTGCATATTTTGTCTCCTTTTGTAAGGTAAGTTTGAAAAATACAGATGTTTGCAAGATAAGGTACAAAACATGAGCTTAATCAGTAAAGAACTCTTCATAAATTGATGTACTACCTCTAGATTAGTAGAGAAGATATGTAGTCTATGTGACATCTCATATAAGGAGTTCTATGTATTTTGTTGCGGACCAAACGGTCAAGGTCGTTTATACTCATAGGAAAGTAACAAAAGAATTAGAAACCTTTGATTATATACATATATATGTCTATGTAAATAAAAATATAAATATACATGTAGAGAGGAATTCAGTCCACACAATTTATATATATATATAATACAGTTATTTTTTGAGTTATAATTGTCTCAAGATACACAAATAAAGACGTAGAGAATTGAAGTAATGAAGTATTCCTTTTGATCTGCAGTTGCTCACTCCACATAAGGGTATGCCAACAGCCCGAGGGGTACTTGTAGAAAGAAAAGGAGATTGAAGCGAAGGATCCAAAACGTGGATATACTGATCAGGTACGGGCCAGAGATGATTGATAATAGTGGGAAGCAAGAAACTGGAGAAGGGAAGTTGTGTCGTCCGGAGTGCGTGGTGAACAAGATGGTGTGCTTATTCAATATTTCAATTAACACCTATGATGTGCAGTGAATTCATTATTTTTACTATTTTACAACGAACGTAGAATTTGATATTTTTTGGCCTCCACAACTTTAGTAGCTGACTGATCCATAATTTCTTTTCCGTATGCTTGCATGATGTGAATTTACACAATAACAACAATACACCGATAAGATATCATTTTAAATAAATGTATTATTTTTACAGAAATGCCACGACAACGACTTCGAAGACTACCAAAGTATCATTGTTTCTTTATAAAGGTCCTTGAACAATACTCACTTGATTTCGTCTGGGATTCTTCAAAACATATTTTATAATGGCCTTAATCACCTTGTAGGTGACAAATATTGAGATATCTTCCAGAGTCTGGCAGTATATATTGATAGACCCTGAGATTCATAGCCTTTCATAGCATTATCTCAAAATAGTTCTAGCCGAATTCCCAGCTACTTCCATTTTTGGATATGCTTCTCTTATGCTGCTCACTAAAGTATTTGGTACAGGCCGAATAGTTTTAGCAACCATAGATTGTTAGATTTGTTTACTTTCTTCAATTTAATGCGTGGAGTTGGATGATTGAGTGACCTTTTTAAGTGTTGCTTTGCTGTAACGGCATGCGAAGTTCAATTATTCTTGTGTTAAGGAATTTTAACTGATTCCTTATTTAAGAACAATTTTGAAAGGCATTACTTTTTAAAAAGTGATTTCATAGTCATTATGACTTTTCATTCCCTTATGTCAGGTGTTTCTAAGACTACATATCGTGTAATAATCTGAACTGCACGTATAAAGACACTAATTGAATTGAATAACTCTGATGCCATCGTATTGGTGACTGCCATATTTTGAAGATAAGTCACATCACGTTTCATGAATGTGCTGCTGTACCAGTCTACTTATCTAATTATCGAACTTGGGCAATTTCTGAAACACTGTCTGTCTCGTCGCGGTGTCATAATTGCTGCTTGCTATTTCTATTAACGTTTTATTGGGAGCTGGTGTTAGTAGAAAACCATAAGAAAATATACAGTACTGAAACCGTATTCTATGTTCTACTGTCAAAACTTATGTCACTTCTCAAATTAGACCAAAGACCTCCATCTTAGACAATGAATGTATTCTCATTTTTGATCTGACGATGTTGAGACCGAACGAAAATATTAGAGTCTGTGAGCTTCTGAATGCATGTAATATACCTTTTTGTTTTTATATCCGTTCAGTTATGTTTCTTTGTGTGTCTGTTCGTAGAAGTCGTAAAGTTATTTGCATACTTTGTATTCTCACGGTTACATAGAAATGATGCTTTGCAAAATGCTCCCACTTTCTCTTAAACGTAGGGTCTCATTCTGTGTCCCGAGGAAAACAGAATTAAACTGGTAAGCGATGTTATTCGAGAGCAAACTGGTAAAAGCTGCGTGGTCGTTATCGGGGCTACAACAGCTGTCGAAGTGGCCAAACAACATTTCACCGAGGCAACTATCGGCTCCAAGAATCTCACATATGCACATGAAGTAAAAAGGCTTCTACAGGTAATCTTCACTATATTTTCTATCTTAAAAGATATGAGTGGAAATACAGTGCCAAGTTTCCTACACAACACAGTGGTATAAAAAGATCAGCGACTCTCATGGTAAATTTTTTAAGGAAACATATAAGCTAAAAATGTTATTTTCACTTTGATCCTCCTAGACTTCGATTTGGTATACCCAAATTTACAAATAATTATTCAATGTAAACCAGTAGCCGTGAATTTTCAGTAGGATGTTAAGATATGGGTTACAATATTATTATTTGTTCTTTACGTTCCAAGTGGAAGATAGGGCTTCAGAAACACATCACCACTGTACTATATTGTTTTCCGTCATTTTTAACCGGGCCGTCGACTCCCTACAAGCCTTCATTTCTTCTTCACACGATCTCCTCCATATCACTGTAGGACACTCAACTGGTCAGTTCTCATTCGGATTCCATTCAACAGCCTGGGGTGTGATACCACTTGAATGTCCGTCTCGTTCCATACTACATATTTGCTCAGTAATAGGTTGGTTCACTGAGCTGTCAGAGCTTCTTGTCGCTTATGCTTTCCTGCTAGTCATTTGATCTTCAGTACCTGTTGTGGGCAGCTGGTGATAAAAATGTGCACCCGGATGTTGGAAAGGCTTTTTGTGACTGGCGCACCAAGTCTCTGAATCATATAGAAGCACTGATTTAGGATTAGTGTTAGGACTCTTGCCGACCATGCACATGGTCCGAGGTTCGTTCCCCTACTGACGCACACCAGATATCTATGGTGTCTATCCTATCTTTGTGGAATTTGACATGTTCATCCATACCTCCTGTAGTTGAAACGACGCTCCCAGATCAGGGAAGTGTAGGGGACGACTTATTTTGAATTCTTCCCATTGACACTGATTGATGCTTGTTGTTTTTGATTGGGTATCTTTTCTTCTCTATGTCTTTAGTAACCGACCCTTCTATCGAAGTAGTTGTCCGAATTACCATCTGAGGCAGTTGTGCAGCTTCAAGCTTTATTTCGAAAACACACTGCTGAAAAAAGTGAAGCGGAGAAACTTAGTCAATCACACAGGAGAGCATTCATTAATCATTCAACATCGTTCAATGGGGAAAGATGACCTTGCAAATAATAAAGATATAATTTCTACTTACTCTTCTGAATTCCATACTCACTCACTTCCTCTGAATGACCGTGGCGTTCTATGTTGTAGAGATTCTACATGTTCACACGAAACTCTGTGTTTTCTGCCTTTGCTGATGATTTGTCAGTTTTCACCCGAAGATCTTCGAGTCTGTGCGACATGAAGCATAGGTCACACACTTAATTCGAAGCTTCTAAAGTCTTGTTTCGGCCAATGCATTTTCGTCCTCCCCAAAGTCCGTTGGATGGTCCAGTACACCACAATCAGGAACATCAGCAGGGACACTGAACAGCCTTGTCTTTTTTCTTGTTTACACTTCGCTCTACTGTGAATCGCTTGTTATGTGGATCATCATATGACTGTTTAACGAGGTTATGTACTGAGCTTGTACCATTCACTTCCACTTCACACAAAAGTGAACCAAACATTGGACTTGTGTAGTTTGCTGATTTTTTATTCTGAATATGCCTAATCTTCCATTTTTACAAGGTGAGTAATTCGTATACTATTTGAAGACTAGTTAAAATTGGAATCTTGAGATACTGGAATTCATACAGGATGAAGAATTGTAGTTCAGCTGAGCTGGACAGTTAATCTGAGAAGGTTTCATCGCCCCACTAGGCAACATCTTCAATGCCTACTTCAATTTGAAGTGAGCTTTTAGATTTCTCCACGAGTTTATCAGTCATCTTTCCTGGTGACCTTGCATGTGGTAGGTTGTTTTTGTTTGTTTTCACACTCTCTAGGCTGCTTGTAACTGATTGGAACTGATTGTTTTCTTGACTTGATCTTTGACCCTTTGTGTGTGAGGTTTCCTTCTTATTGGTTGGTAATTTTTGCCTATCTCGATGTGTCTATTGATTGATAATTCACTGGAATACCAGGAAGTCTTCTAAAAATTCTCTAGCATTTTTGGTGTTTCCTCTGTCTAATATTTGAACGTTGTCCCAGTCGAATTGATGTCCGTGGTTGCTTGTATGTAGTGATACGAGGGAGTGTATGTGATGTCTTCTGACGGCTATCTTGTGTTCACGGATACGAAGACGAAGGGGACGTCCACTTTGGCGAATGTAGTGTTTTTCGCAGTTGTTACAGTTTACTTTGTAGATGGTGTTGGTTTTATCTTCTTTCGCTGTTGAGTCTTTTGGTTGTCAGAGAATTGAGTGAAGTGACTTTGTTGGTTTGTGTGTGACGTCAATTCCTAAAGGTTTGAAAGGTCTTGTAGTGATTTCTGAGATGTGTTTTATACATGGTAGGGCGATTTTCTGGGTGCTTTCCTTGGGGGTCTTTGATTTCGTAGGTTGGCTTGTAGGTATATGTCTTTTGATGAAGTTCCGTTGATATCCATTCTTTTGGAAGACGTCCATGGACGTCTGAAAATGTTTCCTAGTGGGGCGATGGAAGCTTCCCAAATTAACTATCCAGCTCAGAGAACACAACCACATGAAAACACTGGAATTCATTCAGTTTAAGTCTGTTCAGCAGTATGGCAAAAAAGGTAGATGGTTTGGTGAGCGGTGTGTTGATTTTCGAAAATACACCTCTGATTAGGCATGCGTTTACAAGTGAAGTAAAGGCCAGTCTAGAAGTGTGACGAAGATCCAACTACATGCCTCAAAAAATAGTTCGAGAGTAGCATTTTGAAGAAGACAATTCTGAAGTTGATTTTATTAACGCTGAAGCTGAATAAATATCAAATGACGGAATGTAATGTATTTGTATTTCATTATGTCTGCTCAAGAATATGTGTGCGTCAGTGGCACAGTGGTTAGGACTGTCGCCGACCATGTACATGGTCCAAGGTTCGATCCCCTGCCGACGCACACCTGATATCAGTGGTCGGCCTGCAAAATTTCGGCTACCGATATCGCATGTTGAAAATTCCATACTTCTACCGAAAATACAGTGTGACGTCAAGCTGTAATCAAAATAAAACAAAAAGATAAATAAAATGTCACAAAATTCCGGGTACATCAAAAAATAAACTCCATATTTTCAAAAGGCCTAACAAATGGTACTTTCTTTATGTCAATATTTTGCCTATCAATACAGTCCGATTACCTCAAGCTTGTTATAACTCAAGATGATGTTGGCGTGGAATTGTGTGGAGCGTTGAAGAACGTCGTGGCGATAGCTGCGGGAATATGTCACGGTTTAGATTTAGGAGACAATACTAAGGCTGCCGTATTGCGTATTGGATTTTGGGAAGTATCTGAACTAATGAAAGAGTTGTTCCCTGACAGAGGTATGTTCGCATTTACTTCTATTTTTCACACCTCATTTTATTAATTGATTTTGTCACAACTTAAATGCATGTCGATTCTCTACTTTTAATTCGATTACTAATTTATCAAGTTATGTAATTGGTGATGATTGAAGATGAGATGAACATCTGGCGTAGAGGCAGGATTCGAACCGGTGGCCACCAAATCACTAGTGTAAAACACTACTAGCTAAGCTACAATACTCAGGTGTCATTCAGTTTATTATTTCACTGCAGTCACCACATGCAATACACAGTTTTATGTGAATGAGTGACGTCTGTTTGTTGTCACACTAGCTACCCAATCAGGTCTTCTCTTGTCAACCCGTATCCTAATGAATTGAAAAAATCTATTTTGAATCAACTAGTATACAAAGTGACTTTCAGTTCACTTGAAAACTAGATTTATTTTTAAGTTTTAGAATTAGAACACTATTTAATGCCAGTTAATTTAAAAATCCAACTTGAAATTTCAGCTAATGAACGATATTTTATCTCTCTGACCTTGTTCTACTTAAGAGAAAGTTGAGTTTACCTAATTCCTTGCACAAAAAATAAAACATGAATTGTCACGATTAACGTCCCACTCAAGTTCAAGTGCAACGTGAAACATTTGTTTTCGGAGGGTAAATATGCTAGATAAGTGAGATTTTAGCGCTAAATACGATACTTCTAGAATCTCTTCACTGAATTTTAGAAGACGGATTGTCTTGTTTCCTTTTATATATATATATATATAAACTATTTGTAAGAATTTACTATACGAATAACCTTCTGCGTGAAAACACCGGGTCTATTTCCAGTTATTCGAACAGTGAATCATATTACTTTAATTCATGTTTTATTTCAGAATGTAAACTTTATGACTGATTTCACTTGAATGGAAAGCATTTTCAGTCAATGGTCAGGTAACCGCATGTTATAGGCATCTTTAACAAAAAAAATGAACTCTGAAGCATATATCTTAAAGGTGCTGCTGAAATATCACGACCCGAAGCTTCTGAATAGATAACATAAAATGAATATAAAAGTGAACGAACGAAAATTCTTCCGATAGGTTTTAATCTATGATTATTGCCTCGCCTCTGATGGAGAAACAAGTACTGTTTTGGAGCCTTATGTTGAATGCATTTAGAGAAATAAAGATAAATATCAAGTCGGTAAATAAACTTATGAAATTAAATGTTTCTGGATCCATTTCCGCTTTGTACAGCTAAATGTGTAACTCGCAATCGTTTATTCTGCAAAATTCAGGATGTAATTTGCTCATTGCAGACTAAAACTGTTTCTTAAGCAGCTACTTTATATATATAAACATGCTTAAACAGCCTTCAGATATAAATATAAGCTGCGACCTACCAGTTTCTTGAGTAATGGTTGGAGGAGTTTAACTAGCCACTTAGCCACTCCATGTTAGCTGGGATTGGACATGTCTAGGACTGGAAGTCTTGGTTTATGTACTTTTGGCAAACCATACGATCGTGAACTATTGCTTCCAGTAGGTGTAACAGAGTTATAAGCTGCCTCTGAGATAACCCCACTTTTCTTAAGCTCCTTAAGCGTGTTTGTTAGATTCTTTCCAGCCTTTCCATCTAAATCTGTTGAATTGTTGAGCTTCTTATTATCATTATAGTCATCGTCATTACTGACATTCAAAACATTTAACACTTTTTCTTATTCTTTGATCCAGGAACTCACTGTAATTCGTTAAAAGTTTCTTATATAAATCTATGTAAATTAGAGTAAAGCCTGAAGAAGATCTAATTGAAAACAATATTGTTCGCTTAAATATCTTGTTGTAAATTGATAATAAGCAGACAAAAGTTCTTTTTTCTTGATGTAGTTCTGTTCTCTGAGTAGGATGGCTTGAATGCGAAGCTTTCATTGTTTTTCTAGACAACATCCAAAGCGTTTACTTGCTCACTTATTTCTCTGAACTCGATAGCCAAATGGCAAACATTCCATCAACTCAAGGGTTCAGTTTACCAAAACCTAAGTGCACTCTTTTCATATTTAGACTGGAAATTTGTTTCTGTTAGGCACAATGAATGTAAAATTAGATATAAAGTAAATTACCATTATAGTATTAATTAAAAGCACAATTCCGTACATCATTGATTCCCTCTATCGAAGGCTTACGTTATGATCTACGGCCGCCGATTTACCTTGCTGACAGATCATAAACCGCTACTTTCCATTTTCGGATCTAAATCAGGTATCCCGGTACATGCAGCTAACCGACTACAACGCTGGGCAATAATATTACTTGGATACGATTTCGATATTAAATACAACCGAACTAACGAATTTGGTCAAGCCGACGCTCTATCTCGGCTAATTAGCGACTATCCTGCATCAAGTGAAGATATGGTAATTGCATCGATCGCCACCAAAGACTATGCAGTTAACCTCATCGACAATGCTATTCGATCTCTACCAGTAACATTTTCAGAAATCCAGCGAACTACAAGCACCGATGCCACCTTACGACGTGCTACACAGTATGTATCCAGTAATTGGCCAAAGATTAAATATAGTGGAGACCTAAAACACCTGTTTGCCCGTCGTGATTCCTTATGTGTTGTAAAAGATTGCTTGATGTTTGGAGAACGCGTAGTGATACCTGAAGCATTACGAAATAAACTCCTGAAACAGTTTCACATGGGACATCCTGGTATTCAGCGGATTAAGAGTATTGCTTGCAGCTACGCATACTGGCCTAATATGGATAAGCATATTATCGACTTTGTTCAACGATGTTCAAAATGTCAACAATCAGCAAAGCTACCCCACCAGCTACCTCCCGTACTATGGCCTCCAGCATCCCATCCTTGGTCCAGAATTCATATTGACTTTGCTGGCCCTAAAAATGGTGCATACTATTTAGTGGTGGTAGACGCTTTTTCTAAGTGGCCAGAAGTTATACCAATGGTTTCGCCGACAACGTCCTAGACTCTCAAAGCTCTCACTGACATATTCTCCCACCATGGTCTCCCAGAAACCATAGTTACAGACAATGGTTCGCAGTTTACCTCTCATCAGTTTCAGCAGTTCTGTCATCAAAATGCTATCGAGCATATGTTCACACCGCCGTATCATCCTCAGTCAAACGGCCAAGCGGAACGTTTTGTCGACACTTTGAAGAGAGCCTTACTCAAAGCAGAGGGAGAGGGGACACCATTTGACATCATCCAAAAATTCTTGATGGTGTACCGTACAACGCCGAATGAGTCAACACAGAACAAGAAATCGCCGGCAGAAATTCTCTACGGACGCAAACTTAGAACGATTCATAACTCAATGTTACCACCGACACTCAAACATGCCGACGCATCATTTCGGAATGAAAAAAAATTTGATGTTGGTTACCCTATCTATGTCCGCGACCATCGAGGAGGACATAAACCTTGGAATAAAGGTTCCATCTCAGCACGACGTGGTCGAGTTATGTACGACGTGAAAGTTGGAAATGAATTATGGACCCGTCACTACAATCGGTTGCGGCCAAGAAACTCAAATATCCCTACCAGTACACAGTCATCCCTACCTCTGGATATTCTCTTGGATACTTTTAACTTACCTACGACTGACAAAACAGAAAAGCAGAAGTGCGCAGCTCAGACAACGTCAGACAAAGCAGAAGCCGCAAACTCAACAAGCAGACGAAGCAACAGAAGTCGACAACAAACTGAACGGTTTCAGATAAACCCCAAGAAAGCACGCTATTAATCATCACTCTTCTCAAAAGGGGAGGTGATATGTATCCACATATATATATTTATGTGTGTGTGTATGTTGGTCTCTCTTTCTGTTTGCTCGCTTAGTCTGTGACCACTTCACTTGTATGAACTTGTCTCCTTTAATAATGTGTATTCTCCTTATATTATATTATATATAATATGATTGTTTGTTGACAGTCCGTTTCTTGGTGACATATATCCATACATGGTGGTTGTTGACATGTCTGCTATATTTCGCTATGTATATGTGGATCGATACTTCATTATAATTAGCCATTCATGTTAAGACTGTCTAATGATTGTTCACACCCTTGTCATATATATTTCTCTCACACAATTTGTGTGAACTACTTTACTTACTTATCACTTTGGTGTGAGACCATTTATTCTCGTCTCCTTGTGTTTGGACAATAGAAGTATCATCGCAAACCTAGTGGTCTTCTGATTTCCGCCTTCTTGCGTCAGGACTATTAGTTCCTCGACCAGTCCATAACAATAATTTAGCGACGAGTACATAACAGAGATGACACTATATTTTAATCTAGATAATTTGAAACACTGTCTTTCCGACGCATAATGCATGTAGTACATCGTGTTGAGGTGGTAGGAACCAACTATGAAACGTACTGACTTTGGTTTATGGATACAGACTGTCATAATAGCATGTACCACATACTTTCATTATAAACTTTAAAGTGATCATGAAAGATGACTGGCAGACTCAAATATTTAAATGATTATTACGATGACCGCAGGATAATATTTGCAAAGCAGTGATTAAATATTCAGCTGGCTTTTCCTTATAGTCCAAAAGTCAGATGCAAAGCTGTTTAGTAAATCTCTTATAGAGTGAAAGATATATTGATTGCTCAAGTGTTTTGCACGTGAATGGTTGGTTTACCAGAGGATTTGAGGCTCAGTGAAGCAGAATACAGCAATGGTACATTAGCCTGTGACTGCTTGTCTACGATAGATGGTTGGTGATGCTAAGAGCCAGTGGCCGACGACTAATGAGGATATCACAAAGAAATTTCATTTAGGCTATTCTGTGTCCCACACATCTCTATCCACTGATGGATTATCACATTTTCCTGAGATACTTTTCCTTTTTTCTAATTGTATGAATTTTAAGTGACCCAATTTTCCGTGAAAAGTAGTAAGCTGACCATTCATTACGATAATGTGGTGAAGTCTTCTGCTTTCCTTGCACTGATAATCGAAAAACTAGGAATGCACTAAGATACAATTAATCATCAACTTCTCTCTATAAGTGTAAATGACAAAATATATCCTTGGCATGAAAAACTCTAGAGTAATTTACAGCTACCTCAGTGACTTTATCATCTGATAATCATCAATTCTAACTGTATTTACTATCTTTTGTAGTACGCACAAACACACTTATGACCAATCTTGATTCATGGTATTTTTGCTGCAGTTGAACTGTGCTCCAACCATCTATTTTCGTTTCTTACTGTACGCCTACTTATGAGTAGTCAAAAATTCAGAAATTATTTACTTTTATGCTCCATGGAGAATTTAAATGGCATGCGATGTCTAAAGTGCACGCAAATATTTTGCATCATAGTTGACTGGATAATGAAAGAAAAAGCCAGGCAGTTTCTAACATGCATAGACGATTGAAGTTATGTGGTGTAAGATTTGACTGATAAGCCAGTCAGTTTATGATGAAGATGGTAGTGGTACAGATACATTTACACCCAATTTCAGTCTAGATCTTGTTAAATAGGTTACTGTAACACATTTATAGTCGACTTATTTATCTGATTTTCGTTAAACAGTTTCATTAATCATTCTTCTTTCAGCCTCTACACTGATATACTCATGTGTACTGTGTCGATTTTGTTCTTGAATAGATATTCAATTTCGCTCAATAAGTAGCTTCTGTCTTTATGTGGTCATGAAGCTTGCCTATCACGATAAACCAACGGGATACATTGGTCGGAATGAATATTAATGCAGCTTATGCTGTGCCATAAAGACGGAGTAATGTGATCAGTACAGTTAGGTAAACAGAGAAAGTCAGTCGATGAGGTTGTGAGGTTCTACCGGTTGATGCATTTTGTGCAAAGTTTCGCGTTGATAAGTCAGTCGGATTTAGCTGTAATGAAGTAGCACAAGACCCTTAAAACCCACTTTGCTATACAAGTGATATACTCAAATCAATCGTTTCTATGGGACATGTTTATGGTTTACAGTATCCTACAGTGTTTTATTTCCATATGGTTATACAGGAAACATACACATACTCTTTGGTAAATGTCGAGTTTAAACAATATTTTCTGACAGACAACCGGTATAATTTTCGTTGGAATTTATGACTACCTTATTGAGGCTGCTTGAATATTTGATATCAACATGTCAATAATTTTGCTATTCGTATTGTGCAATGAGTTTCATTACTAATTGATAAAGTCAATTTGTTAAGAATGAATTGGTAATATTGCAGTGTTACAAAAAGTCAAGTGTGGATAAATGATCTACTCCTTAATTTTATTGTTTTGCTAGGTATGTCATATAGATCAGACGAAATCCCGGATATTGGAGCAGATTTAGATATTTTGAACATCACCTATGGAAGAAGGCTTTCTTTAAGTGATACAGTTAAGTCTTCCTTGCATCCAGTTTCCTCTAAAGATCTGCACAGAATATTTGTAGACGGAGTGGAATATGCAAAACAGGTAATATGATCATTTTATTTAGGTAATATTTTCTAAATTCTTCACAACTCGGTACATGGAAACATTCTTACATCACTGATCATTTATGACTCTAAGATTTATTAATTCATTTTACTCGAGTCTTGCTTATTTCTTTCTGAAAAATTACTCACTAATGGCTTACAGCGGAATTCACATCACGTACTTCATTCTACTAGGGACATAATGGCCGGGTAAAATAACAGCGTACGGTATAGTAATCAAGTTGAATCAAGCTTTTAGCCACCATCAAAAGGTGTTTATCGGTCTATCGTGAACTTTTTAGTCTCTTAAAAATCACATCAGACAATTCTTCCCATTAATAAATTTGAATAAGGCAAGAACGATAAATGTACCAGGATAATCTAAACTCTTTTTATTATTTCGTGGATTCTTAACTGGTTATAACTAGTACACTTCTAAAATTCATTAATGAACGAAATATTCCCATACTGGGTCATAAGAAAAAGGCGTAAACAGCGAAGAAAATGTTTTTTTCCGACGAATCATTTGCATACGCTGTATTATCGTAATTATATTATTGTTATTGCAGCTATTATTTTATTATCACTATTATTCTCATTATCCATTTTTTTTTGAAATAATGGAGACAATAATAATAATGCATAATAATAGATTTGCTCCACAACTAAACCAACCAGCTCAGAGAACAGTATTAATTGCAAATCCATATTTTTGCTACCATTCTATTACTGTTTATCAATAACATCGAGTTTTAATACAGATTTTATGTTAAAAACACTTTATCGTCCTTCCACTAGCTCCTGCCCATTCTACACGAGTTTATTGATTAGTCATTGCCTCACACTTATCACGTTATGTCAATTTCTGCCTCTTCTCTAACTTCCAATTAGTCATTCCATCTAGGTTACACCTTACATTACGTAATGCATTTTTCGAGGATAAGTTTTGTTCAGTATCTGATTGGTCTAATGAATTTGTTAAATATAATTACGATCCTACGTTTCCAGATCGCAGATGTTAAAAATTTCCTGGATAATTTGAGCTCTGAGTCAGATTGAATCATTATAAATTATTTAAAATAATCCCAGTGTGTTTAAGAAGAAAAAAATCGAAACAAGGTTTCTCTGAACGTTATAATTGTACAGCTTATGAAAATGAATCATCGAGAAGAAAATTTTCTTCTCTGTTTACGTCTTTTTCTTAGAAATTAAACATGTGAACATATTTTTATAATGATAAGGAGTAATCGATTGGAACTAAGAGTAACGTTGGTCAGGAATGATGCAATCTGTTAAATAATTAGGAGAGAAGGGGATTATCTCCTTATAGTAGAATTGCATGACTAAGCTTGCAGACAAAAAGGCAGAGTTCAACAGATGTTTTGTGGGTAGAAATAAGGTTTGACTAGAGGGAGTTTAAAAAGTTATAGGTTACGTAACCACAGAAAACATTGGGGCAGGATGAGTCATGTTTAGGGAGAAAAATCAATGTTTCTTCTACTCTATTTAGAAACTGTTCTAAAAAATAAGTTTCACATGATAGGCCGTTTGCAAGAATGTTATCTTCAAAATGAAAATTTCAGTTTACTCTGCATGACTACAGAAATTCGTTAGCTAACAACCGTCCCCATGAATTAAATATGCAAAACTACCTGAGTCTATAAACTGCTGAGGTAATTAACTGTACACATTTTTTAAAAACCTAAAGCATTGAATAAGGCTAGTTAAGAAACTATTGTGAAACAGATTGGTCAGAATATTTAAGGCCCCGTGTTGACAGTGCACGTTGTACTTTTTGTAGGATTTCATCAGATAATTATGTAGAATAATTCAAATGAAATTAAGGATTCAATTGATTCTAGTGTACTCATTATTTTCAAATTAATGTAACTATAGAGAGAAATAAATACTTATTTCTTGACTGTGCGGAACTCCTCTCTCTATATATAATTACATAAGTTTTAATTCGTATCAGCAACTATGAGAAGACTAAACAATTTGTATTTTCACGAGAATATTAGCTTCTTCTCCAACTGTCTACTTCTCAGTGGCATATACAATGAAAGAGGATAATTCAAAGAACGTTGACAGTGCAAACTATTTTAATCAGCTTTTCGCAGTTTTCGCAGCTGTCAGTGCAACAATCCCTTGGATTTAACTTGAATTCTGTTGAATGTTCTGCTCCAAACAAAAACACACTGAGAGAATATCTCCAACTCAGTGTCATTGCATATATATTTGCAAATCTTCAAGATTTGATAGTGTGAAATATTCCCATATTATGAATTAAAAGTCAATCTGAACGAAGAATATTCTTTCCAATAATTTCTCTTCAGGTTCTTACAACTATAAAATATAATATTTGTTGTCGTTACAATAATGGCCAGTTATGCGGCGGCGGATACATTTTTTAACGTAGAATAACAGATCAGTTATGAGGTGTCAAAATAAATAGTCGTATTTGAGTGTGACAAACGTGCTAGGCTGAAATCAACTAGAAAATATTGTAAAACGGGAGACAATGATGGTGATTAATCATAATAGATTTGTAGAGTATGGGGTAGGAAAATTGACAAGTTAGTTCAAGGTTATAAAAGTGTCAGGTGAGTGGCTAGTACAAAGTGGTCTGAGTTAAACAGGAGACAGTAAGACTGCAATGAGAGTTGGCAGAACAGGGCTTATCACTGATGACTACGATACCATCTACATACCTTCTATAAAGTGGCACATTTTCGATTAAATCTTCCGATAAATTCTCAATGTACGACATATAAATATTTGCAAAAGGGGCCCTAACGGACTGACCATAGCAACACCATCAACTTGGCGGAAACAATCACCTTCAAATGTAAACCTAACATTGTTAGTACATAGAATTAATAAATCCCTTAAGTAAGATATAGGGAACGGGATGAAAAAATTGTTTGTGGAAATATAATCACACAAAATGTCAACTGTTTTGATCAAAGGCACATTAGTAAATAACGAGTTTATATCAAAAGAGTACATATTCTTGTTCATAATATGAATATTACTATCATCAAGAATATCAACCAATTCAAATGTATCTTTTAACACATACTTACAGAATTGTTTTGACTGGACATTTAGCAAGTTTATGCGTTGGGGATTTGCACATTGACAATATAGGATGTAGAGGATTATTGGGTTTATGTATTTTGCCAACCCATACATATGTGGGAATTTACAATCTGATGGTTTTAATGAGTCAAGTTTATCTTTACTTATAGCATTTAGGCCATGAAGCTTCAGTAGATTAGCTGCCACTGTGCCCTGCAACAATTGAATATCTTCTGAGGAGGGATCACAGCTAAATTTGCTCTTATCATCAAGAATAGACATCATTTTAGATTTGTAGTCACTTTTATTCATAATGACGACTCCAGAACCTTTATCAGGTTTAGTAATAATTATATTGGAATTTTCCCGTAGCTCTTTCAAAGCTTTGAAATGCTGGGAATTTAAAATACTTTTCTCCTTTGGGTTGTTGTTTAAAAACTGATGAACTATATCCACCATCTTGGCCTTAAACCAACCCCGATCTTCATCGGATGTTGGGCAAGAGCATATTCCAAAATGGCTCCAGAAACAAATGGAATCATCAGAACCTATTAACGGTGAGAACAGGAGACCTAGCTCTTCGATTGCGAAACATTTAATAGAGACATGTCATAAAATTGATGTTAACAGATCTTTTAAACCTATCTTTAAAACATGTTTGGGGCGTATCCTAAAGTTTGTAGAAGCCCTAGCTGGCAATTAGAAAGTTCAAGCCACCTTTATGCGTTCAAAAAACAATTTGTCATCACATTGAACCTTCTTTGGTAAATTTTGTTTTGATACCATAGCAGATGCACTATTACCTCTGCTATTTGGTTTAGTGGTCTTCATTGTTATTTTGACCTATATCCTTTTAACTTGACCTAAGTCTATTTTTCTCACCTCTTACCTCTTTATTAATTTCATATATATTTCTATGACAATTCCGTGTGTGATCAGATTGTTCGAAATGTGTTGTGGGCGCAAATACATTACACGATTCAGACAAATTACGTCTTCTTATTGCTTTATCTAAATTCATAAAAGGAACTAATTGTTTTAAATAATAACAAAGGAAAAGGCAGCTCCAAATAATTAGGCTTATTAAGTTTCTATATATTCCCAATCTACATAAATTAATACATTGTTTTCCTTTAAGAAACCAAAATTTACAGTCTCCCCTTTAGTTGCATAATGCATTATCAGTATTTCATTTGTCCTTTTCCAGAGGTGTGGAGTTTGATTGTTGGCGCGACTTACAATTATTGGTTCAGTGTTTTCTGGGGGAAAGCTTTTTAGAAAGTTATGTCGTAGATGCATAACAAATAAAACATTTTTAATGACATACCTAAATGATATGGTGGATATTTGCAACTGAGTAGAGCAGTATTGCTAATCGCGATAGATGGATAGATAGATGGTTTGACAGACAGCTAATCGATATTATGTGACCCTTTTGTCGCGATTATTGGCTAATTTAATGTAACTCCCACCACGTGATGTGACCTTGAGTGTTCTTTATTTCCTGTCACTCTATTGTTTGTAAATGTAATTAATTAACTGTTCATTTTGTCCGTTCTTCAATACTGTTCGGTACGTTTTTGTCTTTTCTTGAGTGACGATGGAATTTGTGCTTTTCTTGGTGTAATTGTGTGCCTTATTTTATGTTTTAGAAACAGATAAAGTTTAAGTCAAGTCACTCTGTTTTTTAACTATAGTTAAGCCAAGACTCTGTGTCATCAGTACTGAGGAAGGACTAAATCTGTAGGCAAAACTAATTCTACAGTATCTTAGATTACGGGTCAACAGTTGCTAGGCCTATAATTGTTTTATGCATTAAAAATATACTGTACAGAGTATTTTCATTCTATTTAATTGATGGTGACTACGAGTAGAATCTAGAATGCTTATTTTGGCCTGTTTTAGGACTCATCAACTGTGAATGTATCTACATCCTCTCAGTGAGTCATGGTGTTCCTAGTGATAACTGGAACCCAGAAGCCATCGTTTCACAAAGCCACCAATTTCAGTATGAACACTGATTAGTATAATGAATATTGGAAATAATTTTGCAGAATTATGACCACACATAAAGTTAACACAAGCGAAATGATTGTGTAGTGCATAGATCACTTAAATCTAGCCGCTAAGCATTTATCTCCATGATCGAGTAGTATAAGTCTTCATGCAATAACAGTTTTAATTTTGAAAAATATAGAAAAAAGAAACAAATGCATGTTTGTAAGAAGATTTCTTTTTTCTACTGTTGACTTGCAGGACTGGACTAGTCAATTTATGTGATAATATACGAGTGTCGCGTATTGAACAATCTTGATGTGTTGCCTATAACTTTCAGTGGAATCAAATGACCTGCGTTTTGTCTAATTTAGATATTATCAGCTGGATATGTGTGAGTTACATTCCAATTTTAAAGGTTTCATTGAAGCACAAACGGCTTCAATTGTTAACTGATAAGATTAGTCTGTGTTTGTCAATATGACGGAACACCAACACTCACTGACATGCTGTGGTACATTCAAATGACAATTTTTCAGAAAGTTCCAAGTGAGTCCTACCATTAACCATTTATCACATCTGTAGCCAATTTGACTAACTTACTGTTGATTTCTTCAGTAAGTCATAGTTCATGACTTAATAGTGTATAGTGTAAGGAGTTGACTGATTTCAGTGACACGAATTAAGGAAATGGATTTTGAGTATTTTAAACATTCTACTTGTAGTTATGTTATAATTAGAAGTAGATGATGTATGATTATCAGCACGGAACACTTAAAAAGGGTGATTCTTTCTTTTTGCAATAGCCTTTTTTACTTTGTTGAATAATACTCGTACTCACGCCAACCGACTGCTACCAGCTATCAAACATTCATTCCAAATAGTGTTCCACGAAAGCACGCCGCCTAGAATGTTGACTCAGTTCCAAACTAACGGATAGAATTATTCAGTGAACACTATTAAAGACTGGCTACAAGATACTGGTTACTCGTCAGAGACTAATCAGTATGAGAGCGACGATTACTGTATAGCGTAGAAACTTTTGCATAATTTGGACGGTAAATGAAATTTCCGACTACGTAGTTTTAAAGTAGCTATGAAGAATAATCCAATTTATTCTGAGTAGTTTCAGGATTTTACATTACTGGAAATCTAAAGTTTCGTAGGTTGATAATCTATTTATGCCCCGTTTTCATTTTTGGATTAGATCATTTGCATTCAGTAGGTAATTCACATCGATCAATTTTTTATATTTCATTTGTCACATTCTCCTGAATGAAGCATATAAGGTTTCAAGCTTTGAAGTATATTAGTAGTGGTGACATAAATTTTCACAGGATAGGGGGATTAGCTAGCCTAATGTCCTACCTGCTGTCTTTTCGAAGCTTACTACTAACTACTACCAGCTGTTAAGGTGGTAGACAAGTTAGAGTTGATCGGTAGTCGGACTTGGATCTATTTTTTTGGCTGGCCAGCATTTTACCACTAAGTTGTCGAAGCACACTTTGACTGAATAGTAGATAACACGATATATCTCACATTTACATCAGTATATACATATATATATATATATATTTCAGTAGCAGCGGCTTTAATTTTACGGAGTGAGGTAGGTATCGTCACGTTCGACCTCCCTTCTTTACCGGCCTTACTATCGTCCTAGCGAGGTTTTTACCGGTGAGTCGACCGAGGATTGAACCCTGGATCACCTCTGAACCACTGGCGTACTTCAGTATGTATATACGTACACTAAATTTTATGTCACAAGTTTACCTGAAAGGACAGATTGTGTAAAGTCCTATCAATTATATTTGTGCATTTATTACAATTGATAACTCCCTGTGGTTTACTCTTCTAAGATGAAATAACGTCTATTGAAATTAACTTGACTTGATGGCAATGCCGGAAATATCATCACTTGTGGAATAATTTACTAAACGTCTTAATTTATTTCATTTGTGTTCGTTTATTCTGTTTCCGACATTTGTTCATCTAGAATGACGGAATTTAGAAGAGACCAGTGAGATTTATATGTTCATGTTGTGTGTGTATCAGAAGTCAGTCAGCAGGTATCCATACTTCGAACTATTAACCGATAGGTAGTTGTAAGGGCGGATGTTTTTTTTTGTAGTTTGGCGGAAATCCATTCTCTTTCTTTTAGATATTCGCTTCTCAAGTTTGTGTGACTCACTGTTAAACTTTTATTAAAAAAACTAATAATACAATCGTTATACTGTTTGTCTAATCAGTTAAAACGTTGATGGGTTTATTTATCTGTACAACAAAAACTATAATACACTCTGGTGTCTCTCCATACCTTAATTTTATTGAAACCAACAATACTGGTAATTGATTCCCATAGTCGAACATCCCTAATATTTTATTCGAACTTCTCATCAACATATCGTGTAAGAGCATTACTCATCAGTAACAGAATGTAGATCAATGTTTAGACCGTAGCTAATCCAGTCTTATAGTAGATTTAGTCAAGTGATTTGCGAGAATACTAATTCATCAGTGAATTAACAGATGTTAGAATCACGGTTCATTGGATTTTCAGTTTATGTAAACTGTGAAAACCCATTGACTTCACACTAATGCAGTTATAGGTGAGAACTAATCAGGACCCTCGAAGTCGGATGGATCAGGTGTGTGTGTGACCGTGGATTACACTTCTTTTAATGCCTCTGTAGTCTGTGAGGAAGTGAATGTCCGAAAGGCTTTGTTTGTGTGTTTGTTTGATATAAAAGTTCACAAGCTATGCGAATAAGATTTGCACGTTGGGTTGATGTGGTTTAAGAAAGGAAACAAGACTATAACACTATGTTTCCTACAGCTGAAATCAATAAATTTTGAAAAATTATGTCTGATTCACATCTTTTTATGACTGATGACCAAAGAACAGTTATTTGGTAGTAATAACAATAACTCGGCAATAATTAAATAACAAGAATAATAGTAGTGTAGCAACGAGTGTTTTCTTTCACTGCACATGGAAAGACTTTAAAATGTGGTAATTTTCTGCCCACATCTTTCCACCTCCTCAGCGGCTGTCGCCACCTCCACCTCCTACTTTCAGTAAGTAAACACGCCCACCCCGTACCCATACACACACACACACAGATACGTACGTAAACATTTCTTACACATTAGTCTTAAATACGAACAATAACTCCACCACTTAAATAGTTTCGGCAAATCTATCATAAAGCTGTTTTTCTTTAGTAGAAGAAAAAGCCAGGTAATTATATATATGTATATGTGTGCATAGAGGTGTAGAGATAAAATTAGATATTTACACGTTCGAAGCAATTTTCTGTAGCTTAGCCCCCCCCTCATTTTGCCTCTTTTCTTCGCTGTGTTGCTATTCCCGGTATTATTACTGTTATTGCTGCTAGTGTTGTTGTTATTGTTGTTATCGTCGTCTGTAAACTACAAAAGGAGTAACACAGATCAGTTTATTTTTATTATATGCATATATTTACACATAACAAAATGGTGTGTGCTATAGGAGAATAATATAAAGAATGTGATACATAGAACGCAAATAGTTTCAAGTGTCTTCAATGCAAACGAGTTAAAGTAGGCGTAGAGAAGATGAAGAAGAGAGTAAAGTTATGTCTGAATAAGTAAAGTAAAAGTACAAAACAGGATAGTAATTCGCCTTCATAGGGTATATTGGTGCCTTTGATCAATAGTGATTCGGCTTATCACTTCTTTCCCCAACTCAAAATAGCCACTTACAAAGAAACCATTCTTGTCAGCGATAGAATTCATTTCAATTCGAGAGGTGTGCGTGTGTGTGTGTGTGGCTGAAAGTCGTCGTTTATGTGTGAGTGTGCCACCCGTGTGCTTTTGCTTCTGAGTACTTCACACTCAGATGAGAGTCGAAAAGCATCATTGATATAAGGATAAAACGTTTGCACTGTGGTAGAGTATGTAATTCCATTATGGATAGAATTTATTTTGATAAAATCTCACATATCAAAGTGATATGATTATGAGCAATAAATTGTGCTCGAAACGTAATCAGTAAACATTACTGCATAACACTGTGAGACTTTATCAAAACCAATTTTACCTATAATTGAAAGTCAGAATGGACTATTTTCAAAGTGGTAAAGGTAGCAAAGTTAGACAATTCACGGGTAACTATGACTCTCTTAAAGTAGCCAAATGTCTCTTCGTTTAATTACAGGTGAGTGGCTTAGTAGGCAGGCCCTACATGCGGTGCGAGGACCGTAATCCTTTGAACATCGTGTGTTTTCCAATACTGGCTTCCCTTGTTAAGTCTCCGTTTGGCTGCGTTGTTCCGTCCAGTTCTCTGAGTGTCAACGTGAAGAAACTCAACTGGGTATGGGTATGGAGGGACGAGGTTATGGTTATATGCGGCAGGCGCCTCCACGGGGCGACCGCTGGGTGGAGCTTTTCGGTGGGCAAAGCGAACTCCATCTAGGACCTTTCGCTGCATGAGACAACACTCACGACCGGCCACTCAGTCTTGATGAAGCAGCGGTGCCGTCCTCCGGCCTTTATGGCAATGTACGGGGCATCGGTGGGGCCAGTAGATTTGATGATTCCTGACGAGAGAACCAGGGCCAATAACAACTGGCTAGTGGGTGGCTGTTAGAGCTGGTAACCCAAACCGTGAAGTGCAGCTAGGTGTAGTTGTTAGCCGAAGCCAGTCTCGAACAGTGTCTTATGCGTGGGACTGTGGATTAGAGGTTGGGATCTCGGCCATGAGTCAAGGTTTGGTTGGCTTCAGTGCGCATGTCTCTGAGAAGATGTTTCTAATCCTACCAGCCTGAGGTGGAGCACCAAGGTTATCCTGGGATGTGAATACTAGAAAATTGATGAAGACCCTTCTCAGGGAGTTTGCCCTGGGACTGTTTCAGTCGCTTGTGTGGCTAACGGAATTCGCTATCTTACTCCTCTCTCCGGATGAGTGATGGAGTTCGGCGGTTGGCACGACTAAGAAAGGGTAAATACGCAGTAGCAAAGATAGACAATTCGAGATGAGATTCCAAAATTTAATACTGGTCAATGCGATACATTTAAGTTCATTGTTAATTAATCTTTGTTGGTCTATTTCTGTGTCTTATTTGGCGTAATATTCTTTCGATATGGTGCCAGATAGCATTCGTTATAAAGTGACCTTTATCATTTCTTAGTTAGTTAAGATGACTGAATCAAATGGCCAACTTGTGAATGTTGTCGTCTTTGTCCTTTCGATCTTCATATTCATTCACTGACTCACTCGACTGCACTTAACTGATAGTCTATTTGTGGTGGTGTGATACAGACAATGTGCGCCGACGGAATGTTATTCTCACAAATTCCCACAGTTCAATTCGGCATTATCAGTAGAATACGGTATATCAACTTGAGCATTCTGTTTGTTGCTAGGGTCGGAATACTTTCCACACAGTTCAGTAAGTACTGTAGTAGCAGCAGTATACGTTATGTATCTATTTGAACATTCTATTTGATGCTAGAGTTAGAATACATTTCTCATGGTTATTTACTGCATTAACAAAAGAATACTGTGT